CCCTTACTTCAGAACTCCTTTGCTAAATAGATGTCTAGACATAATGCCCGACACAGTGGAGAGGAAGAAGAGTTAGGGGATTCTCTGCAGGCACCTCCAAATTTAATCTCTTCTTTTTTTCCCCTCCTTTTTTTTCTGAGAGAAGCGGAGGTTTTCTTTACAGATATTTTGGCCCATAGTAATTAATTATCTCAATGACTGTACTTCAGAACTCCTTTGCTAAATAGATGTCTAGACATAATGCCCGACACAGTGGAGAGGAAGAAGAGTTAGGGGATTCTCTGCAGGCACCTCCAAATTTAATCTCTTCTTTTTTTCCCCTCCTTTTTTTTCTGAGAGAAGCGGAGGTTTTCTTTACAGATATTTTGGCCCATAGTAATTAATTATCTCAATGACTGTAATTTGGCCACACTTGGGTAGGCTGATTTTTGTTCTTAAAGGATGGCTGTTAAGTAAGTCTGATAAGTAGCCCTTTATTGGGTTCCTGCACTCTGCTGCTCTCAGTACTATTCACTGGCATATGTGGTTTACAATGCTGCAGCTAGCAGCTTTCATGATATTCAGACTGTCTCTCCCAGGTGCATAGCGCAAAGCCCTTCTTTGTGCTGCTTACATGCACAAGCATGCCTGAATAGCTTCCAGCAGGTATCCTCAAGATCAGTGAGAATGCTTCAACATCAGGTCTTCTGGTTGCCCTCGGAACACAAAGCTGACCTTTTAGGGATTTACTTTAGACTTCTAGACAGCACAACCAGATTGTCTATGACAGATTTTGGTTGTAACACTTTAAACCTACTGTTGATCTAACTGTGTGTTGTACTCAGGCCAAGGAATATAGTAAAGTTTGTGAGGGAGTAAATAATCTCACTTTTGCCCTGCTCCACCTTAATCAAAACAAAACAAAACAAAACAAAACTGTCCTTCCTGTCAAGATGTGGAAGCTTATTGTATCCTAGATACCTTCATATGTTGTCTGTTGATTCAGATCAAGATTGCTTAATGCAGAATTGTGGGTGGATTGCTGATCTATAGCCAAGACCAGCATATGGCAGTAATTACCACTCCAGGCACAATGCCTCTCAGCACTCTGCAGCATGTTAGGGGAGAGTGCCTTTTGTGTTAGCACTTGAGAGTGATTGAGATGAATGGATTGACATGATTACACATCAAATCCAGAAGGACACTAAACCATGTGAGAGACAAGGTGGGTAGGTGAATATTTTCTATAGGACCAAGTTCTGCTGGAGAGAGAGACACGCTTCAAACCACACACAGAAATTTTCTTCAGATCCAGCAAAGGGATGTGTCCTGAGACAGTGACTAGGTTTTGTTGGTAGCGTGACATTCCTACAGTTACTATGTGCAGGTAGCATGTATTATTGATTTCACAGGGCCGTCCCCATACCCGCTTTTGCACACCTGCACTCCCAAAAGATAGCCACAATATTTACTGTACCTATATGTCTAGATTAAAATCTGAAATACAACGGGCTTGGGCACTACAGGAATACCCATGGCAGAGAAATGATTATGTATGCTGAGCATAGGAGACGTATAGGGATATTGAAGGCTCGTATTTTAACACTATTCCAAATGGTAAGTTTTTAATGATTCCCCCTACTTTTAATGATTAGCCCTCAAAGTCATGGACTGATACAATGCTATCATTCAGTAACCTCTGTTGTTGTATTTCTTGTCACCCCATTATGCCATTCTTCTGTTCTCCCTGCTCTTTACTTCCTTCTGCGATGATAGGGATTGAAATTAACAAGAATTCTGCTGTCTTAGCATTTCATAGAGCAGATTCCCTGTTATTTCTAACAAGCAGACTACTCACAGGAGCAAGGCAGGCCTTTTGCTCAAAGGGGAAATCTCTTACAATCTGGCTGCCATGATCTAAAAGCTTGAACTTCAACAGTTCCCTGCTAAAGAACCCATCTCATCAGCTCCAAGGCATTAGTAGATTAAAAAACCCTATTTGTACATAGTCCAGCCACTGGAAGAAGATAAAGATACAGCTCAGCTTGTATCATGTTGCAATATACTAATATTAGGAGCTTTAGTACTATGATTTATCAGTGCTAAAGAAATATGCCCAATAGGAGAAAGACAGCTAAAGTATGTTGAGAAGAGGAGAACTGAGGAGATACTCAAGATCAATATATAAATGTATATTTTATCATAAATGTACAAGGTGCTTTATAAAACAAAGAGCAAGACTAGTTTTCTGCCTTGTAAGAAATATCCTAAGGAGTGAAGTATTTATTATATCTTTCTTTTTAATGTTTCATCTCGTTGTCAGACAGAGGACTCTATCTTTCCATAACCACTTCCTTTTTCTCTCTCACCAAGTGTTTTTTTAATATAGTCATCACTGCAATTATTTTAGGAAAGTAAATATTAATACATCATGTTTTCCACATTCAGAACGTTGTGCAGACATTTACTAACTGTAACCACACCATTGTGGATCACAACATCAGATTCCAGTCACGCTGCTGAGAAATAGGACAAACATATCGGCTACGTCTACACTGGCCCCAAATTCCGGAAAAGTGATGCAAAGTAGGTAAGTCAGAATAGGGAAATCCGCGGGGAATTTAAATATCCCCCGCGGATTTAAATAAACATGTCCGCCGCTTTTTTTCCGGCTTGGGAAAAAGCCGGAAAAAAGCGTCTAGACTGGCGCGATCCTCCGGACTAAAGCCCTTTTCCGGAGGATCTCTTATTCCTACCTGAAAGCTGAGCTGTATCTTTATCTTCTTCCAGTGGCTGGACTATGTACAAATAGGGTTTTTTAATCTACTACTAATGCCTTGGAGCTGATGAGATGGGTTCTTTAGCAGGGAACTGTTGAAGTTCAAGCTTTTAGATCATGGCAGCCAGATTGTAAGAGATTTCCCTTTGAGCAAAAGGCCTGCCTTGCTCCTGTGAGTAGTCTGCTTGTTAGAAATAACAAGGAATCTGCTCTATGAAATGCTAAAACAGCAGAATTCTTGTTAATTTCAATCTCTATCGTCTCAGAAGGAAGTAAAGAGCAGGGAGAACTGAAAGTAGGAATAAGAGATCCTCCGGAAAAGGGCTTTATTTCGGAGGATCGCGCCAGTCTAGATGCTTTTTTCCAGCTTTTCCCCAAGCCGGAAAAAAAGCGGCGGACATGCTTATTTAAATCCGCGGGGGATATTTAAATCCCCCGCGGATTTCCCTATTCTGACTTACCTGCTTTGCATCCCTTTTCCGGAATTTGGGGCCAGTG